AACGTAAATCTTATATAGAATACAATATATGTCTCATTAAATTATGAAACATTTTAGACCAATCTTGAAGACGGCATTATGCCTGCGACAGCTCCTTACACAAGTGTATTGTGTTCAAGGTCAAATTCATAAAATATCCTACATACGTGTACAGGTTTTTAACGAAAGTACACATACATAAATGTTTACCACTTCGTACGGCAACATTACGTGCAAACTGATCATGTATGAAATCGATAATTCACGTATAGAAATAAACATTTTCAATACATGTCAGACAACGGTCATCGAGATATTTGAATTGTTAAAACGTTGTTAGTTATGTGTCAAACAATTAGATCGCAATGCTTGTAATTTCGTAATCGAAAGTATGAAATTTAGGTTTGTCGTTACCTTTTTCCAGTTGTTAAAGTCAAACACGGATTTAACAGGAGAAAATTTTATAAGCTACGGAAATATCAGTAGAATCTCACGTCGTCGACTTCACAGTCAGTAGGAAACTGATGTTTTAAGGACACGAAAGGTCACTACAACTTCCTCGTGTACCTATCTTATGCCTCTCGGCTGATTTTCAATGGAACATGTAGATACCATTTCTGAGCTCATACTCTGTAATCAATACATAGTTATTTCTATCTTCGTGCCTCTACGATTACACAACATTACAGAAATGTTATTGAAATTTTCATAAAAGTAATTTCTACCTTTTGCAGCATTTGACAGTTACAAAGTTTTGAATTCGATTGCTATTGATTCTTAACTTTATAAAAACTCTTTACCGGCCATTCAAGTTAAGAATAGTTTCCGTTGCAACATCGGAATGGTTTCGCTTGTCACATGATCGAACTCTCATTGGTTCATTAGCCAAAGTAGTCCAGGATAATAGTTCACTACTTGGACACAATTGTCTCTGGTATAGCACTTAAAATGGCATTCCTCTCTATGTCACTTTAGTTTATACATCAGGGCGTTCTTGAAGAGGCAAAGCTCGTAACGTTTGAAATTGTGAACGTATTTACCTGTATTTATCAATATTCGTTATTGGATTAATTATAATTGCAAGGAAATAGAGCATTTCATCTATAGTCTGCTATTAGATTCATTTATATTACTTTTATTCATATAGACTGTGGATTTTATACGTTCGTGACAAAAATTGATAGGCGGAATACGAAACTGAAAAGCTATTAGACAAGCTTAAAGACATTATTACATTATGATCAGCATAATTCAAAATGTTAAAGAAAGAATTACATTTTCGATTTATTTCTGTAACATAGAATTTACTGGAACAATTTTTATTTTGCATAAATAGTTGCAGTCACTCTTATAAATATCTTCTTATTATTAATACCACAGACTTAGGATTCGTACAGACATTGCATGCAATGCTAATTTGTTGTCTGAGGGTCTGACACTTAATTATATTACTTAAGAAAAAACACTTGGTATAGAACTAGGGTACATAAAAATTCGCCTCTATTATTAATCGCCTAAATATTAATTTCCTTCTCTTTCAAACAGTATAGATTGTAGACAATGGTATTGGATGAGAGATACTTAAGATTACGTGAATAATATCATATGCAAAACCAGTTACGGTGAATTTTGCAAAATTATAGATTACCATGAAAGGCCATAGAGTATTTAGTACCACGCTTCAGCAAGAGATGTCGCCACTTTATCAAGAGAGTAGATGCAATTTTTAAAAAAGAATTTCTGCACAACTTTTACATTCATAATATTGAATCATTAGAGACATTGTTAATCACGATTTTCGTGTTCTTATTGTACAATAGAAATCAATAATTACAATGTGCGTTGTTCTATTACAATGCTTTAGTACAAAAATCTTAATCACTATCTATTCATTAATAATGTCAAGGAAATACAAGATATATCATAGATTTACAAATGGAATTGTTATTGCTGCAGAATAATTGAATAAGAAGTCATGAATTATTAATTTTTCATTCCTACACAGTGCTTTTAATTTGAAATGAAGTTAATCTATCATCAGCGTAAGAGATTGTCATCTGAACATTTTTAAACATACGTAGCACAGTTATAAAAGAAGGTGTTAAAAACGGGATACCACATCAAGTAACTTCACATGTTAATGATTTATTAACTTATTTTCACATACAATAGTATTATGCGTGAACGATCAAACATTGTATAAACAAAATTTACAAAATAAAGTATAAGTCTTTACAGCTAAAAGCTACTAGTAGTAGTGGATCACATAGCTTCATACTTTTCCTCGGCCATGCAAATATTGCCGTCCGAGCCTATTTCATTTTTTTTGTTTACTTTATGCTCTATCTCTCGTGTGTACGTGTGTGTGGGCGTGCGTGTGTGTACGTGTCTCTGTATATGTGTGTGTGTGTCTATGTTCGTGTGTCTATATATATATATATAGATATATTTATTTATATTTATATATATATTTATATCTTGTATTTATACTTTTTATTTATATTCATATTTATAATCATATTTATAGTTGTTTAGATATATATAATATATGATATTATATATCTATCAATACAATATAATATAATATAATATATTATATATATACCACGAATATTATGCCAAATATTAAATAAGCTAGCTTTTCTAGTTTTTTTCGTTCTAACTCGGAATTTCATGAGGGTGATGGGGGGGGGACAGGGTGGCGGGTGAAGAAAATGGTGGTGTAGGACACAGAAAAATGGGCGGTGGGGGGTGGGTGGTATCTGTGAGAGTATGCGTATGGTATATGTGTGGGTTCTTTTTTCATAATACAGACGTATATTACACTCATTTAGATTCAACGATTCTCTCTATCTCTTGTAAATATAAAATTATCATCTCTTATTGTAATACCACTGACAGTTGATGTAATAATTATGTATAGCTATTTTTATCTGCATCAAATATCCATATCGCACACCAAAAAGTGCATATTCGGTCGCTGTTTCCTAAATTTGTTTGACTCGGTACTTCACAGTGATCACGGTTGAATCGTTTTGTCTCTTACGGAGTTAATCAGTTTTCATTTTTGGTGCCTCTTAAAAACTATGTTCGTCCGCCGGAATTTGCATTTTTTCATATTTTTGCATCTTTCTTCCCTCTCGTCTGGTTCTCGTTCTCCCTCACTCTTGTTTCTGCTTTCTCGCGCTCTCTCATTCGCATACATGCATGTGCACTCTCTCTCTCTCTCTCTCTCTCTCTCTCTCTCTCGCACTCTCACTTTCTTTTTCGCACTCTTACTCTCTTTCTCGCATTCGCATTCTTACTCTCTTTCTCGCATTCGCATTCTTACTCTCTTTCTTGCATTCGCACTCTTTTTTTCTCGCATTCGCATTCTTACTCTCTTTCTCGCATACTCGCTCTCTTTCTCATACTCTCTCTCTCTCTTTCTCGTACTCTCTCTCTCTCTCTCTCTCTCTCGCTGTACATCTCGCGACAAAGAGCAAAAGTCGCCTCGCGCACAATTTCAATTTATATCTCTCTCAAAACATAACAAGCGAACGAAACGCTCCGTTAAATATAACTACATATTTTTCCCATTTCGATAAATAATAATAGTAATAAATATTTGCCGAAGAAACTCGTGCTTTCTCAGTCACACACCTCGAATAACTATCGGTACAATAGCCCTCCAGAAAGATTTCTTTTATCCCCCGTGATTACTAATCGCAGCCCTCGGCCAAACGCGTCAACTATTCATATCATCATCGTCATCATCGTCGTCTCGTTGCTGCTAAAATCCGCCGTGCTCTCCGTCGCAAAGGAAATTGAACAAACGATGCGCACAAACATGCCGACTTAACATAGGCCTCTTTACGGTTCGAGATAGCAGACAATATTATCGTGCACGCAATTCTCCGTGAAACTCGTCGACCCGTAATCCTGCAAAAAAGCAACGCTCGTCGACGGACAACCACGATATATATATATATATATATATATATATTCCGGAATCGAACAATTGATTTATTCGAACGCAAACCCGCCACGCCGTTAAAAAGAGACCGATACGAATAAATAGTTTGAAAATCTGCGCACGGTTTATAATGCGCGCGCGCGAGAACGCGGGAGGCGACGCGTTGTTTTAAAACGTCGGCGTTCGCGGCGAGTCTCCTCCCGCGATTAAAAGTAAACAGGGAATCGATAAGATTAGGATTAAGGATTATAGTTCGACAGGCGTCGCTTTTCCGCGAATTCGCGGCCGGTTCTTTTCTTTTCTTCTTTTTTTTGTTGTTGTTGTGGTCAGGCGGCGTGCCTTGGCCCAAAGATATTCGCATAAATATTAAATAACGCGCACGTCGACGGTTATCGTACAGCAATAATTATCGTTAAGGCGTATTTATAGTTATGTACAATACGGAAAATATACAAAGGACGTCAGCGCTACATGTATATATACGTACTCTCGTTTGATTCTTGCGTACATTAGATTACTGAGGTAAGTCTTTACTGTTTCACGAATCATCATCATCTCTCGACGCATCGACGCGCCGCGGAGAAAGGAGAAAAAAAGCTTTTCCCTCCCGCCGCGTGATCGATCCACGGATCCATGGATCACACGCGAAACTCGGACGACCGGTAGAGTCGCCCCCGCGAAGGAATCGAGCGATAAAATTAATTGTCTTATCTTTAAACGGTCCCATTTTGTATACAGCGATGCCAGCCGTTTTCGCACGAGCCTCGACACCTAGAATCTTCGAAAATCGTGTGTGTTCATCTCGTTTCTGTTGTTCTGTTCGACACCGAAATGGCTCGGTTCGGAAATCGCCGTGCACATGGTGATATGTCTCTTTCGCCACACTGATTTGAAACGGAAATCTACGGAATCTAAACAACGGGCGTTGCTCGTTTCTTTTTTTTCTTTTTCTTTCTTTGCAGCAGCAGCAGCAGCAGCAGCAAAAGACCATTTTGGAAATTTTTCGCCTATAAAGTGTACGAGGAGAGACCCGTCGACACGTCCGTTCTTCTCCCGAGCTCTTTTGATTTGCTTTGATGTGTGGAGTCGTTGAATGAGAGGCGCGTGAATCGCGGAACTGAAAGCGTCCCGGAAAGCCACGGTTCATGCGAGTCACCGTCGCCGGGTTTCGCGCGTTGCTGCGAATGAAACCGTAAATAGTATAGTGGTCCTTGCATTTAGAATTTCACGTTCGATCATCCGAATGGCTATGTTGTTCCGTCGGACTCTGCGCCCCTCCCGGGATTATTCGAAACTGTCGCGGAGATCCCCGACGGGTGACTTAATTAAGTAACAAAGCTAATTATAGACAGAACCGAGGATTTCGCGGGTTCTCCCGTCTTGGCGAAATGGCGGTGCACCGAAAGTGACGTTGGTCCACTGTGCTCTTTTGATATTCGACGCGGGGTATTATGAATGACTCTTTTTATTCGGGAGATCTCCGGAAGCGTGTTCCGCGCAGCAACGGGCAGCCCGGCGGCGCGTAAATTGACGAATACAGCTCGGACCGCTTCTCCCCCCCTCCCCGAGCGAGCAACGCTACACAACGAATGGATTCGCGCGATCCTCCTCGAGAATTTATTTACTTTTGATACTTGCAAGTTTTTTTATTGTCTGTCTAGAGTGTGTGGTGTGTTTCGGACCTACTGAAAAGCTTCGTCGTTGAATACATTGCTTCCCGAGGCCCCGGTTCGGACCCGCGGGGAACAGTGAGCGATTTGTCCGGTGTGAAAACGCAAACGACGATCGATGATAAAAGCAACGTATCGATTGAGAAAGCTTTCCCCGGGATCACCAGCGATCACCCAGCGCGTGTTCGTTACATACTACTAACTTTTAAAGATTTACTCTGTAAGTTTTTCATTTTGTACATGTTTTTATGCGTGGTGCATGCAAAGGAACATTTTCTCGTGTCTCTTGGGGCTAAAGTTGTGCGACGATGGTGTTGTGTCGTTTTGAATGTTTTTCCTTCGATAAAAAAATAAGGATGAGCTACTCCTCTCTCCCGATCGTAGCGAGATCACCTGAACAAGGCGGAGCTGCATTCTCGATCTCTCGCGGATCTCCTTCGACGGTCTATACCCAGGCATGGGACACTGGTGCGATCGGAATCGTGCTATTTCGCTTGCCACGCGACGATCGTTCGATAAGATTCCCCGGGCTCTGCGGGACGATCGGGGGCCGCCTCTCGCTCGCACGCACGCGCTTGCCGCTCTCTTGGAGTCACGGCGGGGTGGGGAGAGCGCGCGCGGTTGGTCGTCCAGCGGAGAGGCGGGGCTTCGGGGCGCCAGAGCCCCGACCTCGGACGCTTATCGAGCGGTCGCTACAAATACATCGATTCTCAGATAACTCTTGCGATTCTTGTTACAGCAGACTCGTCGCTTTTCTACCGGCGAATATCGAAATTTCTGATTGTTATCCGAGCGTTACTGTAGTTTTTTTCGCTTCTCCATCGTTTGCCCTGATTACGTTGCCGTCGCCCACGCCTGGTCTACTTATTTTTTTTTCGCGGTTTTCTGATCGTTTTTCTAAAGAAAAGTTACTTGAAGCTACCCGAAAGCCCCATATCTCGTTGAAAGTGGATCCAGCGTGTGTCGATCGAAACCCGGACAAGACACCTCGCAGAGACTTCCAATTCTGAATCAATCTGGCCTGTCTTTATGTACAAAATTCCCTCGGATTCGCGTCCGCGGCATCGATACGCTATATCGTTATTTAGTTATTACTTTTCTTCTTCGTCTTCTTCTTTTTTTTAAATCTTTTTTTATCGTCTAAGGAATAACGTTTTACAAAAGTCGGTTGAACGCGGGTTCAAAAAACGCCGGCCGTGTTTAAAAAGGATCTCCCAACGTGTCGAGACTATTTAATATTCGCGATCCAACACGATGACGTCCCGGTAAAAGAATTACACCTTGTATATTTCTGTATAGCCATCTAAAAAATGATTGATTGAGAATAGTATTTCTCTGTGTAGGTACAGTGACGTTGATTCGTTCGCAAAAATATCGTTTTTAAAAACTACCTGCGCTCGGTCGGTTTCTCTCTCTCTCTCTCTCTCTCTCTCTCTCTATCTCTTTCTCTCTCTCTCTTCTGCTTCACTCTTTTCTTCCCCGTGGCGGATACTATATCCTCGTGATGATTAAACTGCGTCGATTTCGAACGGAAACTCATGGTCGCGCGCGTGGAAACTGTGTTTTCGATAATGGGACGCCTTATTTGATATTCCTCGAGATACAAACGCCCCGGCGTCTTCTTTTCTTACACGGCTCTCGGCGCCGTGAACGTTCATGCAACACTCGAGACGCCTCGCACGGTCTCGCGATGTAAGTACGCCTTCGTTCGCTATAACTACGCTCAACAGAAACTCGTTAACAGACACTTCTACGCTCCCTTCTTTCTCGAGGAGAAGAAACTTCCCTTGATCTTTGTCCTTTGCGCAGGAGAATAGTTATTTGCCCTCGAGGAAACTGTCGGAGATTGCCATACTCAGCGCGAGGTGTGACATTAATTAATTCGGCGAATTTTTTAGGATAATGACCCGTAATCTGCAGTTTTCAAAATGACTGGCCGCTTTGACAATCGTTGCTCGCATCGCTATCTGCACATTTTCTTCCTACGAAACACGTGCCGCATTTGAAATTAACGAAACATAATTCCCTTAATTTTTGAAGATATTGTTCTGTTAATCATCTATAGTGCGCGCAGAAATAATCGATCACTTTCGCAATTGTTTCTTAGATCACGAGCTACATTTTTCCTCTATCTTTTTAGGGAGAAAAGCTAAACTTCTGAAATTAATTGACAAAAACACCCCGTTTTTTTTAGAGATATTGTTTAGTTAATAATCTTCAGTAAACGTAAAACGATCGCCGATTTTGACGATCTTTTCTGGGATCACGATCTACGAGTTCTCCCTCTTTCTTCGGACCAAAACATTTCATTTTCAGTTAACAATCGTATCTTTTTTGGTTAATAATCATCGATGTATAAAGATCATTTTGACAATTATCTCTGGGATCACGGTTTAGAGTTCCTTCTATCTCTTCAGACAAAAACCAAACTTGATGAACTTTCGACGGTACTTTCTGGTGAATAATCTTCAGTGCCCAAAGAAATGATCTACCACTTTGACAATCGTTCATTGAATCACGATCTTCAATTTTCCTCTACTTCTTCAGAAAGTAATATTTTGCATTTGAAATTAATTAGCCAAAATTCGATAAATTTTTGAAGGTACTGTTTGCCTAATAATCTTCACTGTCGAAAGAAATGATCTACCACTTTGACAATCGTTCATTGAATCACGATCTTCAACTTTCCTCTGCTTCTTCAGGAAGTAACCTTTTTGCATTTGAAATGAATTAACCAAAATTCGTTGAATTTTTGAAGGCACTGTTCGCTCGATAATCTTCACTGTCCAAAGAAATGATCGGCAACTTCAACGATCTGGGATCTCGATCAACTCGCGACGATTTCCAACGTCGAAGCAGTTTCATCGGAGAACAAATAACGATAACTCCTGCGCGCAATCGTCCCGTGCAATTTACCACGGGGATCTCTAGATCGGACCTCTAAGAAGCTTCTCCCCTCTCGTCCCCCAAAGCAAGCGCAATTTTCGTGCACCGGTGTCCTGCACGCAACGACAATGCAACAATTTCGTTTCAGAAACGCGTCAAGTAAACATTTTCAAAATCTTCTCAACAAATGAAGAATCTAACCGACTCGAACTCCGCCTGCCTCTCGACCGTTAAATACGCTTACCAGTGGATGATTAAATTCAGCGGGGGAGTCGAGCTCTGTCTCGAACACCGAATAGGAAAAATGGTTTCCGCTCTAACTGTACAGGCTACGTAGCAGATGAATTGGAGTAATTAATGTGTTTATCGTACACCGAGGAATGTCTTCTTTCCGCGAATCGAAAATCCTCCTCCCGATTTAACGTCTCTCTCTCATCCTCCGCCGATCGAGACCGTCTACCGCTACGAAAATCTGCTTTTCACGCTGGTTAATTTTCGTTGACTTTTATGTACAGGAGAAATGAATGTACACGAACCGTTCGATAGAATAAACTCGCCATCGCTCTAACAATCGTCTCCGAAATAATCGTTCCGCTACGTCTAATACTGGAAGTGCCTTTTTGGTTGGCTCTCGCGGCGAGCAGAGCCTCGTTTCTGCGCCGCTTCTCGCACCTGACGCGCGCCCCTGACACAGCTAATTTTTATAAAAATTCCCGCGAGTTCACGTCGGGTAAGACGCGCGGCGATCGGTCGGTAGCGAAAAGAAGGCGGAACGACCGTTCGATCTCGGATCACAGATGCTACGAACGCAAGGTGTTCGTCCGCGGAGCCGCGGCTCCGACACCTGTTCTCGACGCGCGTCGATCGCAAGGTTGGACGTCGCCTAGGTAGACAGGCTTCGGGGTCATCGACACTGCTTCTGCTCCGTGGTGACAGGGTTCAAGGTCCCCGCGGGCTTCTTTGACGACTTCTTGCCCTCGGACCTCGAACCGCCGCCGCTGTCGGGACCCTTCAGCATCCTGCAGGACTTGCTGCCGCCGGTCTTCTTGTCCTTGCTCGACTCTGGCACCTTGTCCAGCTCGGTCATTGCCTCCTGTATGGCATTTTCCAGCTGCATATTCAATTTACGACTTCTAGAAGAAGAAACCGGGGACACGAGAAAATCGTGGCGTTAGTCGACAGGAAGATCCAGAGGGGGAAACGGTCTTAGCGGGTTACGGCGAAGCTGTGATACATCTAGGATGCGATACGCAACTACTTGGCTAACCAGTTAGGGTCAAGGAACGTCGGCACTGAATCGGTTTTGTGCTTGTTCGAGAATCCCGCCGTTTTCGGGAGACACGGAAACGTTTCTGGACTGTTCAGTTGTTGAGTGGATTGCGGTAATTTCTCCCTAATTGCGCACAAAAATGGACAATTTCGGAAGAGAGCCTTGTGGCTCGTTTTTATAGTTACCGATTGTCAACAACTATAAAAATGAGACGTGAGACTCGAATAATCATGTCTCCTCTTTCCAAATTGTCCGTTTTTGTGCGCAATCCGAACGCGAATTAGGGAGGAATTACTGTATTTGGTTAGGCTGTGGTCGTGAGATTGATGGGGTTTTAATCGTCATCTGTCTCTGCTTGATCGGAGTTTAACACTGGAAGTACCGAATTAGTCGGAATCTCCTGGTTTTTTCTTTTACAGTTTTTGATATGATAACAATCTTTTTGAGAGAGATTTCTTGAAAAATTTTTTTATTAATGTATGCGCAGATTGTGCACTTCAAATTAATCTTTTTGTAGATTATAATCACCTTTTTGCACTTTATTGATTCTTTTATAGATCGTATTCATCTTTTTTGCGAATAGAATTAATCCATTCCAAAGAATTAAGTCAAAATTGATCGTTTTTTATACAATTTTTAAAAATATGAATTTGTACAGTTGCTACAAAATAATTCATCTTCATTAATCTTCAACAATTATTTATAAAGTGTTACTGATTATCGAAAATATGTCTTCTCGCAAATAAAATTCATCCTTTTGCAAATGAAATTCATCCTCTTACAAATTAAATTCACAAATTCGCAATTACTTGTAATAAAATTCATATCGCATTGCAAAATTGAATGAAGTTTTATAAAAAATCATTGAAGATCAATGAAGATTAATGAAAGTTAATGAAAGTTAATAATGTCTAATGTTTTTACATTATTTTATACCGAGTCTTAGGATTAATTTGATATGCAAAGTTCGAATAAAACTGAGAAAGGGATAATTAGATTTGCGAAAGTATAAATGAAACCTGCAAACGTGGCCATTTGGTTTGCAAAAATCTGAATATCATTTACGCAAGAACTAATTTAAAGTGTAAAAAGGAGAACACGATTTACAAAAGAACAATATTTAGTGCAAAAGCTGTATTATAAATAAAAATCGTTCCAAGTTTATATAAATCTTGTCGTTGTTATAAAACTGTATAAATCAATAGCATTTATAATTTAGTTATTTATTATCTAGTATTAATATTTATTATCTAGTATTAATATTTATTAGCTAGTATATTAATATTGCAATTAAGCTAATTTAAACAAGTCCCTTTAAACCCCAAACTAACACAATTTTTCACTCCTGAAGAAGGAATTCATTCAATTGAAATTTCTTTCTTTTCAGTAATATTGATTTAAAAAAAGAGAACAGACGAGGATTAATAAGGTTACGGTTTCATTTTGAATTTGTTGGAAATAATACAGGAGATACGTGTCCCGATTTTTCGATATTGCATGAGTTATTGCAAAAAAAAATGTATACTTGCATAACAATGTGCAGTCATTGTAGGTAATCTGCATTGAGTCATTGTCGAATCTCTTAAACGTTCCTTGATCGATTGCACACAACCGGAAGTTCCAATGTACAGCATCAAATTCTCATTTTTGTCATTGATTAATCTTTGAAAATCTTATTTTTCAGGGAAAACACCAATTCATTCCAATAATAGTCGCGTAAAACTAATATGGAAATTGATTATTTATTGATTATTTATCCTTATCAATTTCGGTGCATTATAATTTTTAAAATAATGGAACGAATAATTAGCAAATGCATTTGTTGTTCAATCGGTCGACTATAAAAAAAGGACAATTTTGATCATTTCTTGGTCCACACTTGTGTACATTGATCCGCATCGAACGATTATTTAGCCGATGCCCATGAAATTCCATGTTGTAATACTTTCTACGAATATTATACTACGAAGAACATATATATGTTACTAAAGACAGAATAATAGCTCTATATAAAAACAGCAATACTAAGCAGAATAAAAGAATTGCGCATATCTAATATAGAGTGTAAGATTAAAACGCGCCCGAGACGCGCAACTGCGATTATAGAATTAGGATAAAAGCGTCTTTCAATAAAAGGCTTCCGGAAGAATTGTTTGGAAAAAAGCATTGTTGGAAAAGTCGAAATTGCTCGCAGGATCGACAAAATCGCAGCTACGCGAGGCGTTTCTTAAATGTAACAGAGACTCGATATCATTGGCTGCTGGTTTGTTACCAAATGCTGTACAAAACTGATTCATACGAAGAGAACTGATTTGATCATCCTGAATCAAATTTTTGTAAAACATTTATCAATTTCAGTTTTCTCGAGTTTTTGGAAAAACTTACGGCCGGTGGACAAGCGACAGTAAAATGCGAAATAAATTCATATTTTTAATAGTGTATCACGCATTCACGTGTCTTGCTTAATCGCTATGACCTTATGAACTTAAATCTGTTTTTTTTTTATTACTTTCAATTACAACCCTTTCGCTATGACTATAATTTATGCAATACAATTAGACTGTTCACGTAATTTTTACATCAATGTTTTTAATTCTCTTCTATAATTGAATCGAAGTCTATGCAAACTAGTGATGTGTGTGTTAAATTTAATAATAAATAAATTTATTTTTCTCTAATAACAAATTCAATCAGAAGCAGACGCATACTTTTTTTTATTAAACTGATCTAATCGATGCGTAAATAGTCTAGTTATCAGAAAATTGCAAATATTTATGCATTCTTAGTAGACACTGAAAACTTGTAAATATAGTAACCAAATGATTATTTCAAATAATTATGAAATAAAATAACATGTTATTTGAAATAATGTTATTTCAGATAGGATCAAAGGCATGAATGTACTATGAAATAAAATAACACGTTGCTCGAAATGATATTTCAAATAATGTCATTTCAAATGTGTCCCGTTCTGCCTAATATACATATAGCGAAAGGGTCAACTGTCAAGGTCTACCACACCAAATTCAGATGTTCATAATTAGCTGCTAATTACTATCGCTTGTCCCAAAGTGCGTATCACCCCTAGGTGGCACACAGTGGGGTGAAATGACGAAGTTGTGTCAAAATCAAAGAACTTTTGATAGGAATGAGATAGAGCGATGGTTTTAAAGCCGAAATGTCGAATAAGGGAAAAATACAGACGATGTAGTGTGAACATTTTTTAACCTTGAAAATTAAAGTTAAACTTGATGAAAACGTGATTTTCACCATGTAAAGTTAGACTTTTTAGGACGTGTTATATTGTACATCGTTTTCCGTAGATTTTGACACGCTGATTGCAAATGCCGTCGCAAAATTTATCTACCGGTTCAGGATTTCAAAAAGAAAAAAAACACAGTGGGTTATCAAATCATTTCAACGAGAAAATCACGATTTCGTTTTTTTACTTGAATCTGTTTTTTCTTCAAAATCTTGAAGTGGTAGATCAATTTTGCGACCGGATTCGAAATCAATGTGTTAAAATTTACGGGAAATGATGTATATAATATAATATGATGTATAATTATAATATATATAATATAATATAATGTATAATTATAATATATATAATATAATATAATGTATAATTATAATTGATATAATATAATATAATGTATAATTATAATATATATAATATAATATAATGTATAATTATAATATATATAATATAATATAATGTATAATTATAATATATATAATATAATATAATGTATAATTATAATATATATAATATAATATAATGTATAATTATAATATATATAATATAATATAATGTATAATTATAATATATATAATATAATATAATGTATAATTATAATATATATAATATAATATAATGTATAATTATAATATATATAATATAATATAATGTATAATTATAATATATATAATATAATATAATGTATAATTATAATATATATAATATAATATAATGTATAATTATAATATATATAATATAATATAATGTATAATTATAATATATATAATATAATATAATGTATAATTATAATANAAATTTAATAATAAATAAATTTATTTTTCTCTAATAACAAATTCAATCAGAAGCAGACGCATACTTTTTTTTATTAAACTGATCTAATCGATGCGTAAATAGTCTAGTTATCAGAAAATTGCAAATATTTATGCATTCTTAGTAGACACTGAAAACTTGTAAATATAGTAACCAAATGATTATTTCAAATAATTATGAAATAAAATAACATGTTATTTGAAATAATGTTATTTCAGATAGGATCAAAGGCATGAATGTACTATGAAATAAAATAACACGTTGCTCGAAATGATATTTCAAATAATGTCATTTCAAATGTGTCCCGTTCTGCCTAATATACATATAGCGAAAGGGTCAACTGTCAAGGTCTACCACACCAAATTCAGATGTTCATAATTAGCTGCTAATTACTATCGCTTGTCCCAAAGTGCGTATCACCCCTAGGTGGCACACAGTGGGGTGAAATGACGAAGTTGTGTCAAAATCAAAGAACTTTTGATAGGAATGAGATAGAGCGATGGTTTTAAAGCCGAAATGTCGAATAAGGGAAAAATACAGACGATGTAGTGTGAACATTTTTTAACCTTGAAAATTAAAGTTAAACTTGATGAAAACGTGATTTTCACCATGTAAAGTTAGACTTTTTAGGACGTGTTATATTGTACATCGTTTTCCGTAGATTTTGACACGCTGATTGCAAATGCCGTCGCAAAATTTATCTACCGGTTCAGGATTTCAAAAAGAAAAAAAACACAGTGGGTTATCAAATCATTTCAACGAGAAAATCACGATTTCGTTTTTTTACTTGAATCTGTTTTTTCTTCAAAATCTTGAAGTGGTAGATCAATTTTGCGACCGGATTCGAAATCAATGTGTTAAAATTTACGGGAAATGATGTATATAATATAATATGATGTATAATTATAATATATATAATATAATATAATGTATAATTATAATATATATAATATAATATAATGTATAATTATAATATATATAATATAATATAATGTATATAATATAATGATGTATAAATATAATATGCCACAAAAAAGTCTAATTGCACACGCTGCTGGATAAATCACAATTTAGAACATTTCAAGTTCAACTTAAATTATCAAGGTTAAAAAATGTCCATATTACATTCTCTCTATTTTTCCCTTATTTCGCAACATCGCAGCTTTAACGTTAAAAAAGAAACCAGCATCGCTTTATCCGATTTCTATGAGAAGTTCTTCGATTTTGACAGATCTTCGTTGTTTCACCGCACTGCGCGGCATCGAGAACTCGTGTTCGTCAGGTTAATCCGGGAATCGAGGTGGTGCGACTCACTTCCTAAACTTTTTTCGCGCACGGTGGTGCGCTTCGAGGCCTTCGGAGAGGGACTTGAGAGCCTTGACCTCGACCTGGCTCCGACCGCCCCCGCCCCCGTACCAACGGACACAGACTGTCATAGACCCCGGGGGGCCTAAAGACTCGACCTTGCCCGGCCACGCCGGACTTCCTCTTGCGGCGCCCCACACTAGCTCACCCACTTCCAGTTTCCTCTGGCTCTTCTCCTCTGATTTCGCCTTGGTTACTAAACGGTCCAAACAACACACCAGATTTTCTTTCGATTTCATCGAACTCGCTTACTAAGGCCCGAAACGTGGCTTTGCTCAGCGTGAACTCGAACGGGCTCGCGAGATCGTGCTGTCGAACTCGAATCTTATCTGTCTTACGAATTTTGTGTTCGTTACGCGGTGATGTCGTGCTTGCAATGGTACAATGTTCTCTTCGACTGTGTTTTATAATTTGACTGCGGATTTACTATTATCGACAAAAGTTAAGAAACATAGACGCATATTACTGGGTGTAATGAACCTTCTTAACGTAGCACAAGAAGTTGTATTGTGTCAACGAAAATGTTAATTTCATATTCTTATGAGTTTTTAATTTCTCAATTTTATTTTCATTTTCGTATTTTCTCTTTTCATTTTCATTCTTGTAGTTTTTCTTTTCATTTTATTTTTATTTCATTTCTTTATTTTCTACCTTTATTTTATGTTTGTATTTTCATTTTATTTTTGTATTCTCCTAAGTTTCATTATTTTTTCATTTGCCGAATGCACTAAGTAAAACAGTATTGCAACATAAAGAACATGTTATTTAGTTTTACAGCATGTATTTAGCTTTGCTATAATATGTACTTTTAATTTGACGAATATTTATTAAAATTTCAAATGTAAACGATATGTAAAGTCTCTTAACTTTTGTCGGTAAGCGTATGTGCAAAATTGTCTGCAATAATTGTGAAAAACAAGAGCTTGAATGGAAATATATTACTTCTGTTAATAGTTTTAATAATCTGAAAATGATGCGACAGTATCTATAAAATGTTTCTATCGTTTCTGTATTTCAAGTAACTACTTTTATTGTAAATGCATAAAATCCACAGTCTACCTACAATTTTTCGTAATGGCACAATTATGTTCTATAATGGTACACTGTTTTTTGGATCACATATGTTACATTGAGATCTTTTCGTCGCTGAACTTACCATTATTAGTCAAATAATAGATTTCATATTTATTGTTTGACAATTATTGCAGCAGTAAAGAAAAAGTTTTACTAAATTCTTCTTTTATAATACAAAATAGACCAATGTGAGCTTAATGCACAACTCATAGTCAATTAGTACCAGTAGTAACATTGCAAGTATGTTTCTTCTCCGACATATAAACTAGATTAACTATAAAATCGTTTAATTTAATATTCTCTCTGTATTTAAGTTTGACATTTAAACTTTGCAATCAGAAATTTCAGTCAATTTGCAAGATCTGTTGAACTTGATGACAGAAAGTGTCACTTTCCTTTTGAATCGCTATAACAATTGTGTCAGGCAACTCGATTTTAATCAGAAAGATTTAATTGTGCATTCATTTACGACACGATCCCACGAGTCTCCGCCAGCTATGAAATTGTGTGTTAACTTTGGCCAATAGGTGCAACGCATAACAACGAAATGCTGTATGCTGTTGGTGCGTGCTTAACGAATGGAACGGTCCTTAAAACAGTTCTATTCATGGTTTAACTACTTCCCCTCGCAATAAGTATTCGATCGAATAAATTAAGCAATTAGACAGACAAATATAACAATATTGATTCCAAATCGAATCAGTTCCTCGACAAAATTTCTCGTTGCGTCTTTCTTCATTCAAGATTGAACTAAAAATGCCGCAATTCTTAATCACAATTCTCAAAAATATTTCACATTAGAGTATCGTACGTTATTATTACATTGCGGAATTTCATGCAAAATATGATCTAAATTGATTGTAAGAGACTTAAGTCAGATAAAAATATCTTGCCTCTTTTTTTATTAATAATTGCAAGAAATTTCCGATGACTTTACAATGTCGTTTCTGACATAATCGTTTTTATAAAAATTGCATAAAATCCGCAATTGTTAGATATTCGATAAAAACAAAAGAAGACTTCATCGTTAAACAATTCTCTAATTTGTTCGACATACAGAATGTCACAAAACAAATATTACTATCCAAAATTTCGACAGATAATGAATCAGACTTGAAGAACATAGTGTACTCAAGCGAAGCTTTCTTAACGCGACTGTTAAAAAATGGCGCGCGTTACAGCATACAAAAATATTCCAAAAAGAACGTTCTATGTTCTGAATCTTGCTCTTCTGTTCAGTGGTTGCAAATCTTGTGCAACCTTTTACCACGACACGTCTCTTCGAGAAGTTTCGATCGAACACTTAGCAGCAGGGTCTCGTCACCTTGTGACCGAACACCGTACGTTCTCCAACTGTGCTTCTTGCTCGCGCGTGTGCTCGTTAAATAAATGATTAGTAGCATCATTCAAATGGTGGTAGGCGAGATCAGTGGCAAAATGAAATATCGGATGAGTCGAGCACATGCAATGCCTCCGGTTGTTTCTTTCTTTCTTTCTTTTTTTCGAGCCCCGTCGATTTCTCGCGGCGCGATCGCGCGAAATAAATAAATTCGATTTCCGTCGGTTTCCCGGCGATATAAATATACACACGTAGAACACGGTCGTAAACGACGGGGATCATAATTTCACGTCGCTTCGACGGATTCGCGTGGTAACCGCGAGGGACGTAAATTCCGGACACTCGTTTCGAACCGCGAAATTACGGGACGGCAATAAAGTCGCAGATTTACGCGACAAATTATCGCGCGACTCGAGTCGTGCCGGGTTCGCCGCACCCAGGACGAGAGGAACAACGATCCCTCCCCAAGATTATGCACATGCGACACGGTGAGGGGGGGAAAAACGTGTGAGGGTGATCATATGTACAAGAAATGCCGCGTTAAGGGAGGAGCTCGCGAGTAAACCGTGAAAATTATCCTTGTTTTCGACAATTCTTTTTTTTAGTACGTAATACATCGATGAAAATTTTCGACATTTCCGACAAACGTTCTTTGACATTTCACGATACGTATGTTTTTCTTTCGTTACGTTTTATCGGCGTTTACTGGATTAATAAATCTCGTTCTCCACGAATCCTTTGTTGATCTGGTGCAGTCCAGCATCTTTTTTCTTTGATCCAAAACAAAATAAAAAACTGAGTTCTTTTCATAATAAAATTACGCATCTCGTGAACCTAAATCCTATTCAGAAAAATTAAAGAAGTATGCCAATACGCGGCTCTGAAAATGAAGGAGCGATTTTTGCGTAATATTTTTATTTTAATTATGCGGTAAACGTAGTTTCAATAATTAATATGACGTTCCTGCTTAGTTCTACATTGAAAAAGACTCCGTTTTATACTTTGCTCTAGATCGAAGGAAAAGAATGCTAGACTGCACGTCGATCAACAGCATCGACCGGAAGAACAAGATTTATTATTTCAGTAAACGTCGATAAAATGTAACGTAAACAAAATCTATATATCTCGAAATGCCAAAGAATATGTATGAAAAGATTATGTTACGAAAGGTTATTTCATCAATGTTTCACGATCCAAAAAAAATCGCCGAAAATTATACTTATTTTGACGGTTTACTGGAGGCTCCCCCGTTAAATAAACCGGTGAGCCACACCCGCGCCGAAAATGATCGGATGATGACTTTGCGAAGCCCCCTCTCTCACTCTCGCACTCGTTCTCTCAATGACAACTGCGTGTGTGTGGACGATGAGATTAACAAACCTGACAGCCAATTAGTAGAAAAAAAAAACAAAAACGCAACAAATCCTCCCTGGGAATTATTTGCCATTTGCGATTATGTGTGTCGTTAACGGCGCCGTTACTGCTGCGTAACAAGCATCGAGTCTCCTCTTTTGGTTCACTCAACGGAAAACGTTTAGAATGGTTACTGACATCACTTACCTGCCTCGAGCACCTCGTCGAAAATAGCTAGCAATAGGTCTTCGACACGGTGTCTCGTTTTTTTTTCTTTTCTTTTTCTTTTCGTTTCTAGCGCGAGAGCAATCATAGCGATCGTACGACTATTCTCTGATTCAGTCGAGAGTTCTTTTGGTTGCCGAGAAAGAGGAACTCTTTGAGAATGTGAGATACAGCGGATCAGAGGCATTTGTACATTCAGATTTTCCAGGATAATCTTAGATAAAGGAGTAGCATTTTATAATTTACAGATTGAGAAATAATTTAGTGACATTGCAAATATCAATGTAACATTAACCGATAAACCTTTAATGGTTATAACTGAGTCGTTTTTTTTTAACTTTTCGTATAAATCCATTTTAATCGTAAGACTGCTTTCCTTGGCATTTCAACGGTAAATTTTTTAAATGTTTCTGAACGATTTTCCTGTGCACTGAAATATTACAAACTTTAGACTGTATTAATTGATTACAGTATATCTTAATTCACTACACTCTGTCTTAATTTGATGCAGTTTGTATTAATTGAATACGATCAGTCTTAATCTAATACAGCCTGCATTGATTTATTACAGTCTGTATTAATCTAATACAGCATATGAAAAGAAACAAATTATTTTCCTGTGTAATAAAATATCAAAAACGTTGGACCACGTGAACTTAATGCAGTCTGAATATTAATTGACTACTCCCTTATGTAAAGTGACAATGAAAGAGCTGAATGTAAAAGTATCTTGGCGACTCATTCTAGACACTCGAGTTGCTTTTCAAACGTACGTTCTACTCTTTCAATCTCTGGGCACATTGTACCATCCGAAAGTGTTTCGAAACTGAACGTACGCGCAGAAATCCTCGGTTTTACGTAACTCCGCGTCATGTAAAAAGCATAAACCAAAGCAATCGGCATGCAGCAAGCAGTATAATACGCAACCGTGTGCCAGTTTTCTGTACATGCAGCAAATGAAAACAAAGAATAACCATGCAGACGCACGCGAACTTAAATTAACGAGCTGACGTACATGCTTCGACAATTTACGGAAACAATAGGGGAATTAGTGAATAGCAACGTGTTTCCCTCGAGTATTGCTATTCTAACGATCTGTGCTAGAGCCAGAAGCACTCTTAATGACGACATTCCATACGTACCAAACGGTGACCAGCAGCAATGCGAGATTTTTCGTGAATTCTCTGGTATGAAAGCTGATGTGCTTTTTCTTTCTGTCTCGCATTGCTTTTGGTCCGAGATACATTAACACGACAATTTGAATTGGATGCAGTTCCCAAATAGTTCGAATAGTGATTGGTTTATCTATACTAAGCGATTCTGTGAATTTTGTTCGGTAGTATTCGTTTCTGTCGTTTGACGTCTAGAGCTACTTATGCGACTAATGCACGTTAAACGTCTAAGAATACCATACAATACTGACCATCTTGGTCTTCATGCAGGGTAGAATGCATGGAATGGATGGAGTCCAGTTTTCGTTTGATTCCGCGGCCGAGGGCATGTTCCCTGCCCTCGCACCTCACTGTGCTCACCACACCTTCCGTCTGCTTCAACGTCTCTGTCGTATAGATCTGTCAAATACAACTCGATCAACTCAGGCACAAGCCTACCAGTCGCATGCTAATATTCAATTCAATCTAATACGACCGCCAAATCGTTTCTCCGTCGATTTACAAAAACCCCTCTCTCTTTTCCTCCAACGAGATCCTCATCGTTCTTTCGACCCTGCGTGAGGACACTCGAGCAATCGGTGCCCCAAACATAATTAAATTTATACAACTTCGAAATTTTCTGTTCATAGAAATTTTGGCTCAACTTTAAAACAATTTGTTTGTAAAATTTTACGTGTAGAACTAACTCTATCTGTTTGAAACAATTTTATGTGCGAAACTAATTTGGATTTGTTTGAGACGATATAATGTGTTCTTTCACTGAATTACAATTTGAGCTCCGTTACAGTGTTTATGTACGGTCAATCAAATCTACATGCACCTTCGCAAGCACTTAGTAATGACAACATCTCAATTGCAACCATTTGGCAATGGCAATGATTTAAGCATGACAGTTAAACTGTATTTCACTGATCCATTGTTGACGTAAAAAATCCGTGGTCTATTTATGATAATGACAATACTGAATTTATTTAAACTTCGTACAATTTCTATTGTAACATATGCTCGAATAAAGAAGCGAATCTAAACATTTCCTTTAAAAGCATTTTTATCATTCAACAGAAAAACATCAGAAAGCAGTCAGTTATTAATTTACAAATTTTCTAGCATTTAAAAAAACTGTACATGCCATAAATGCATAGAGATCTGCAGTTTATTAATGACAATGATCTTGAATGTTTTCCTACTTCAAATTTCAATTTCAAGTCAAAGAATAGAGATCCTAGGAAATGATATGCACATTTAACTTTCAATAGCATGTTGTTTGAAGATTGAAACTGAGAAAAAATTCATTTTGTTAACCAGGATATTTCCTGCAATAGAAACAGAAGATATGCAATAATAATTTTCTATGATGTATAGCTTTTTTAACAATCTCTACTGAAATAGATAATTATATAAATATATAATATATGTAATATAAAATATTATATATATATATATATATATATATATATATATATATATATAAATAANGAGCTGACGTACATGCTTCGACAATTTACGGAAACAATAGGGGAATTAGTGAATAGCAACGTGTTTCCCTCGAGTATTGCTATTCTAACGATCTGTGCTAGAGCCAGAAGCACTCTTAATGACGACATTCCATACGTACCAAACGGTGACCAGCAGCAATGCGAGATTTTTCGTGAATTCTCTGGTATGAAAGCTGATGTGCTTTTTCTTTCTGTCTCGCATTGCTTTTGGTCCGAGATACATTAACACGACAATTTGAATTGGATGCAGTTCCCAAATAGTTCGAATAGTGATTGGTTTATCTATACTAAGCGATTCTGTGAATTTTGTTCGGTAGTATTCGTTTCTGTCGTTTGACGTCTAGAGCTACTTATGCGACTAATGCACGTTAAACGTCTAAGAATACCATACAATACTGACCATCTTGGTCTTCATGCAGGGTAGAATGCATGGAATGGATGGAGTCCAGTTTTCGTTTGATTCCGCGGCCGAGGGCATGTTCCCTGCCCTCGCACCTCACTGTGCTCACCACACCTTCCGTCTGCTTCAACGTCTCTGTCGTATAGATCTGTCAAATACAACTCGATCAACTCAGGCACAAGCCTACCAGTCGCATGCTAATATTCAATTCAATCTAATACGACCGCCAAATCGTTTCTCCGTCGATTTACAAAAACCCCTCTCTCTTTTCCTCCAACGAGATCCTCATCGTTCTTTCGACCCTGCGTGAGGACACTCGAGCAATCGGTGCCCCAAACATAATTAAATTTATACAACTTCGAAATTTTCTGTTCATAGAAATTTTGGCTCAACTTTAAAACAATTTGTTTGTAAAATTTTACGTGTAGAACTAACTCTATCTGTTTGAAACAATTTTATGTGCGAAACTAATTTGGATTTGTTTGAGACGATATAATGTGTTCTTTCACTGAATTACAATTTGAGCTCCGTTACAGTGTTTATGTACGGTCAATCAAATCTACATGCACCTTCGCAAGCACTTAGTAATGACAACATCTCAATTGCAACCATTTGGCAATGGCAATGATTTAAGCATGACAGTTAAACTGTATTTCACTGATCCATTGTTGACGTAAAAAATCCGTGGTCTATTTATGATAATGACAATACTGAATTTATTTAAACTTCGTACAATTTCTATTGTAACATATGCTCGAATAAAGAAGCGAATCTAAACATTTCCTTTAAAAGCATTTTTATCATTCAACAGAAAAACATCAGAAAGCAGTCAGTTATTAATTTACAAATTTTCTAGCATTTAAAAAAACTGTACATGCCATAAATGCATAGAGATCTGCAGTTTATTAATGACAATGATCTTGAATGTTTTCCTACTTCAAATTTCAATTTCAAGTCAAAGAATAGAGATCCTAGGAAATGATATGCACATTTAACTTTCAATAGCATGTTGTTTGAAGATTGAAACTGAGAAAAAATTCATTTTGTTAACCAGGATATTTCCTGCAATAGAAACAGAAGATATGCAATAATAATTTTCTATGATGTATAGCTTTTTTAACAATCTCTACTGAAATAGATAATTATATAAATATATAATATATGTAATATAAAATATTATATATATATATATATATATATATATATATATATATATATAAATAATCTATAAATAATCTGCAATAATTGAATGGAAGAGAAATCTTGTGCTACTCTACCAATTAAAAAAGTTGGAAACTAACAAGGTGTATGTAGACTTTCCTCTGACTGACCGTTATAAAGCCTGATAGTTCCATCAAGCCTATATAAAGATAATGATCATTGTTCGAAGCAGTACCGCAAAGCCGATGTTCCTCACGCAACCGATAGTCGAGCCGACATTGTTCACGATCAAATCGTCATTCTTCGCGGCATGCAAAACGAGAAGTGGTACCAAGATAGACGAAATCCAAACTCTGATTACGCATGCTCATCTCAAGGTATTCTTTTGCCAATCGTTTAGGAATAATGTAATACCAGACGACTTTCAAACAGAAAGATATATTGCTTAGCAAAAATTTATTTAGTCCTCTGTTTGCCATATTATAAAGAATCATGATGATTTTTCTATACGATTATGTTTTTTGTTTTTTTTTCTTTTTTTGTTCTTTTCGTTTCTTCGTTAGCATCTCGTTTTCAACACACGGACGAGCATACATGTTACATTATTGCAATGTACATTTTAAATAATAACGCTAGAAGGAGTACCGCGAGACCCCCACAAAACTTGTTCAGCAAGCGAAAGAGTCGATAACGTTAAATACAAACTAATTACAAACTTAATAATATTTGTATATTCGATTAAAAACGCGTTGCGTATGTGATTTGCCCACGGCGGGCCTTTGTAATGCCACTCAAAAGTCGAGAAATTTAAAATGTACAAGATGAACGAATCAATTAAATCGAACCCGTAACGAAAAAAGAGAGATATTACGTCTAATCATCCGACGACGAGTCGGTCTCCTCGCCGTCGTCGACCTCTTGCGCATACACGAACGGATTGTAAATGTATGGGTTTATATAGGCCTGTTTACTGGGCGAGTAATTAACGACAGCAATGCCATTAGGATCAGACCTATAATTGTACAAGTGTGGATAGAGGCCGGGTGGCGTGGCGATGCCGACGCTTACAAATTTTTGATAGTTATCGTTCTCGGGACAGTAAGAGACGCCGACGGTTTGCTCGTCCAGCGACTTATCTTCCGAAGTGTGCGCGTTGTTGACGTCTTGGTCTACGATATGCTGTACGACCTGCGAGTCAATTTGACCCGGGTCGACGCAACGCTTGTCGTCGAATTTCGTCTGAGGTAGCATGGTATAATGCGCGTGGTCTGGCACTAAAGTTTGCTGTCGATAAACGTTCGCGTTGGGAACGTATTGCTGGCTATGATAAAGGATCGGCTGATAGTGGCCGTGACCTACAACCGGCAACGCGCTGACGTCCATCTCTGTGTAAGAGACATCCGTCACGTCTTTCTGACTGACGGTCAGCTGATCTTCCACCACGGGGGAGTGCTCCATTGTGTCTGAATATATGGAATGATTTGGTGATGATGTGTCCATATGCTCCTGTGAGTCAGCGTATGTGTTTTCAGGGTGTGTCGTATCGGCTGGCTGGTGCATGTCTGTTAGAGTTAGATGACGGTTGACCTGTTCTACATGGGTACCAACCTGGATCCCAGTAGTCACCGTCGACTCCACGTACGTCTTCCCGTGGAGACCCGGTTGGCTAAGCGTTATTTCCTTCGTAGTGATACCCTGAATCCTCCAGTCTTCAGACGCCACCGGCACGTCCCCCGAGTCCGGTTCGCTGCTCGACACGCAATGAACCATCGGCTGCAAACAGACGTCAATGCTCAAAGTAATATTACAAGATCCCTTCGTTACAAAGAAGCAACTTTAAAGTGCCGCCGAACATCAGCTGTTAAGGATAGTTCAAGATTCTTAGGTTCTAATAGATCAAATACCAAGATACAGATCTTTCAAAACCAATTCAAAGCATTACCGTAGATGACGAATGATGTCTAGCAGTGATCGGCGGTGCTGGCGAAGCCGCTCCGTGCGTCGTCGTGTCCACGGCAGGGCTGTTGGACCTCTGGCTGTTCCCTGGACTGTGCGTCGTGGTGTCCGGAGGCGATCCTTGCCTCATCATCGCTGACTGCGCCATGTTCGCTTGGTTCCCAGCCGTTTGCGTAGACACAGAATGTCTCGCCATCAGCGGACTATGTTGATCGCTCTGTTGCGCAGTCTTCTCGACAACGGTCGTGCTGCTGGTGGCAAGAACATACTGTTGCTGTTCAACATTCTGTTCCGCTGACGGCGAGTTCACGCTGCTCTTCGGCGAGGTGGGCGCCTTCCCCTGAATCATACCGGAGCTCAGTATGTACGACTGGTTGTGGTCGATGTTCATAGAAGGGTCAACGGTCGTCCCGTTAGAAGCTGCAGATTGAAAGTTCGGTATCTGATTGTTGGACACCATGGTGGTTTGCTGTTGCACTATCGTGGTGTTCTGTTGAACGAACGTAGTGTTCTGTTGGTTCGAGGCTGAGGAAACGGCAATGTTCTGCGCGGTGCCGCATGGCACCATCAAGGTCTGCCCGTTCATCTGTATGAACTCCTGTTGGCCTTGCATGTTCGACGGCCTGACTTGCGAGGCGTTGAATGTCACCTGCTGATTCGGGCTGACGTTCGCTACGATCGGGCTCAGCTGGTTCCCAAACGATGTGGTGCCGTTGACCAGGAACTGGCCGCTGTTGGGCGAGAGAAATTGTGCGCCTGGACTGTGCTGCTGGATAATTTTGCCACCTGTCGCCTGCGGTGCGCGGATCACCATCCCGGCAGGGCCCGCTGCCAAGATGCTCTGACTCGGATTGAAGATTCCGCCGTGACTCTGCACCGGAGTCAACACGTTCTGGCCGTTCACGTTCTGTATCTGCAACTGCATGCCAATGTTGCCAGTGTCCTGCAGAAGAGTCGCAGTCCCGTCAGCGGACATGACCATGCTGCCGATGCCGGGAACGATGAACTGCTGTATGGTGGGGAAGTTCTGCACCATGCCGGCCGCTCCGTTCAACAAGTTCACTGGCTGGAGAAGATTGATTTGCTGGGCCGGTTGGGGATTCGTGATGATCTGCTGGGCGTTGAACTGCGCCGACGTCGTGCCAGCCTGGCCGTTCATGACCAGTTGCGCGGGCGCCCCGCCTTTCCCCGGGACGATGGTCAGCGCTTGCAGCATGGGACCTCCTATGCTCTGTGTCTGGAAGTTCTGCTGGGCGAAATTCGACTGCGACTGCATCAGCATGCCGGCGTTCTGCTGGGACGAGGCGATGTGCAACATGGAGGCCACCGTCTGCGGGTTCGTCTTTCGCTTCTTGTACGCCTTCTTCTTGCTCATCGATTCCGGAGACAGCAGCGCTGGCTGCCGGTTCACCATTCCCTGGTTCGCGTTCACGTTCCTCGCGACGTCCTGGTTAGCGTCGATGATCGACTGCGCGTTCTGGATCACGTTGCCGGTCGCAACCGTCAGATGAGGGATCTGCACGTTCTGGCCTATGCTGTCCATCGTCATCACGCCCGGCTGGATAAGTACAGGAGTCTGAATGGTGTTCACCAAGACCGTGGGCTGCCCAATCACCTGCTGAGCCACGCCCACCGCTGGAATAACCTGGCTGACGGCACCAGTCACACTGGTGACCATCGGCGAGACCGACAACGGCGGCATGGAGCTCGAGTTGGAAATGATCTTCGGCGGAGGTGGAGCCATCACGCCATTGATACCCGATCCAGTGCTAGCCATGATCAACTGGCCACCGCTGGACACGAGGATATGACCTGGCGGCAAGGTGGAACCAGCAGGATGCTTCAGCATTCCACTGGAAGTGAGGACATTGTGGACTTGAACGTTCGACTGAGGATGCTGTTGCGTTTGGTGCTGCGGTTGACTCTGCGGCTGCACCGGCGAGCTGGTGCTAGCCTGAGGTACTTGTATGCTGCTGACGACGCTTTGGACCATCTCCAGTGGCGACTTCGAGACGCTGATCGCGATCGACGGCTGACTACTCGTTAGAGAGGAGTGTGCGGTCACAGGCGTTGTTGGAACGGTTGCCAGAGTTGCCGCGGAGGTCTGGTGCTGGGGCTTGTTCGAGAGAATGTCTGGTATCGCAGGATTCGGTATTCCGGATGGAGTGTTGATGGAAACTGTAGCAGTGTTGGCTCTGCCTGCTAGCACGGACGTGATGGTGTTGCTGCTGACCGTGTGTCCACTGGCCATTGTAGTTATCACCGAAGAGGTGCCGGTGAAGTGACTCATAGGTACTCTGGTGACAGCGTTGACGGTGTGAGGATGCGGCTGGTAGCCGTCCAAGGACGACTGTCTCATGGTCTGCCTCTTGGTCACCTGGGGCGCCATGTTGTCCGTCGTGGAGGAGGACGTTTGCAGCGAGGAAGTACTGACAGCGACGCCGCTGGAGCTGGTCGCAATGGAGCAGGGCGTCTCGGAGCGTTGCTCCTGGACGCCGGTGCTCATCGAAGACTGTGACGGCTGCTGAGCCTGAGGTGTTAACGGTTGAGATGGCACCTGGCCTGAGGTGGCGTGCGAATGAGGTGTGGGCGGTTGCGAGTAGCTGTGCGGGGTTGAGGGCTGCGACGAGATCAAGCTCTGAGGCGTGGCCGGCTGGGATATGCCTGGCGTGGACGAGGCCGGGGTGTCCGAGTTCGCTGGACTGTTCGTGCCGATAGGGGATCCATGACTAGTGCTCACAGTGCCGCCTTGGATGGGCCTCGAGTCAGCCTGGTTGTTCTGATACTGCTCTCCGAACGTGGACGACGTGACAGGGTCCTCGCGTTGATCCGAATGCATCAGGTACTGACGTTGAATCTGCTGCTTGTATTGGTCCTGCACGAACGACTGGGTGTCGGCGCTGGTCACGCAGCCTTGGCAAGGACTGCTCTCGGAGTCGGTGCCGCCACTGCTCGATGTCGGCGTCATGCTACTGTGCACGACCACCGGCGAGGTCGCGTGGTTCTTCACCGAGTTGAAGGTCGACGTGCTCGTCGGGCTGACGCTGGAGGAAGGCTTTGGTTGCGGAAGATAAGCGTTGTTAGGCAGGTGGCTCGTTTGAGGCGTCTTCGAGTTGTTCACCAGCCCCACTTGGGAGCTGCTGACCCCGGTCTGTCTCGATATCGTGCTATTCAGCAGAGCGGTCTGCTGAGCCAGATAGCCGCTAGGGTCTTCCAAGAAGGACGGTCCACTGCTGTTCACGGTGGATCCGATCTGACTGCTGTTCTGATGCGCCTTGTCGTTGAACTCGTCGATCGGGCTCGGCGTCGACTGGTCCAGGCTGTTGCTCCTGACCTCGGTGACGCTGTGCTGCCGTTGCTTCTTCACCACCACCTTGCTAGGCTTCGCCTTCTTCCTGGCCACCTCGTCGGTCCAGGTGGTCGCCTGTGGAATGTGATGATGCAGCGGTGGTACGCGGTCGAACGAGTTGCAGGTGATGTTCTGCACCGTGACGAGCGGAGGCTGGTGAGAGCCCGAGGCTGGTCGGTTCTGCTGCCAGGGCGGCGTCCTCGAGGTGAAATGCATGTTGCCGGGCTGCCCGTTTGGTCCCATACCGGATTGTGCTTCGTGATTGGTGCTCGGGCTTCTTCCCGCCACGCTCGACAACGTGTAGTACTGTTGCTGGTGTTTCACATCAGCGGCGTTCCCTTTCGACGCGTCACAGTTCTTCGCAGGGTACTGCACCTGGTTCTGAGCGTACATCCGCTGCACGTTCTCGTGCGAGCTGCTCGACATGTTCCCGTTCTGCACCACGTGGTGTCGTTGCATCGGATGATTCTGCAACAATAACTGTTGCTGCTGTTGTTGTTGCTGTTGCTGTTGTTGTTGTTGCTGCTGCAACTGCTTCGCGTTCATGTCCTCGTCCGTCACCGACGGTGTACGGTTGTGCCTGGTCTGTATCTCCGCGGTGTTAATCGCGTTCATCACAGGTCCCGAATTCTGCTGCTGCATGACGTCCATAGAATGATGGCCTAGTTGCTGATTAGGATACTGGGGCTGGACGCACACCTGAGGTACTTGTTGTTGCTGCTGCAGTTGTTGTATCTGCATCTGGAAGGGATCTGTTGGCTGGGCTTGCATCACGTGCTGATTAGGCGGATGCTGCTGCGCCTGCTGCTGCATCTGATGCGGGTGGAGCTGGTGCAATTGGGGATGCAGCGCAGGCTGAGATGACACCTGTGCCGGTTGCATGTGGTGGACGTAATTCTCAGACGCGTGCTGAGGGTTGAAGTTCCCTGATTGCTGGTCGACCTCCTGCGTCAGGTGCTGTTGCTGTTGTTGCTGCTGCTGTTGCATTTTGTGCTTCTGTAGTTGCTGCTGCATGTGCAGTTGTTGCTGTTGGTTAATGTGCTCCTGTTGCTGTTGCATCACGTGCAACGATTGCTGGTTCAATTGATTCAGGTAGTGCGGAGCTTGTTGCTGAGTTAACTGATTCACAACGGTATTCTGATGCTGAGGTTGCTCTTGCTGTTGCAATATCTGCATATGCTGCATCTGTTGATGGTGCGGCAGCAGTTGCTGCGTTTGCTGCTGTTGTTGTTGTTGCATTAGTTGCTGTTGCTGCTGCTGCTGTTGTTGCTGTTGTTGTTGCTGCTGCTGCTGCTGTTGTTGTAGTATGAGCTGTTGGTGTTGCTGCTGCAGCAGCTGCTGTTGCTGTTGCGTCATGTTGTTGAAGTTAGCAGCCGGCTGGTTCATGATCAGCGGGTTTCCCATTAGCATCCCCGACATGTTGTGCTGACTTAACCTCTGCTGGGGATTTCTTGTTGCACAGCCGTTCACGTCTTGGTTTTGCGAGGTCGAGTTTAGGGTCTGGTGGCAGATCTGCTGATTGCTCTGCTGGACTTGCAAATTGGGGATTGCGATCGGCCACACCTGCAATGAGAAGTTGCTTTACGTGAGTCTACGGATCTAAGAAAATGAAGGACGAATTTTATTGCAATATGTGGTCACGCACATCCAGAAACGAAAAATTTGCGTAATTAAATTTTTTACGTTTGTAGGATGGGACTTCTTCGAAATATAAATTTAATTTTGATTGTTGTATGAAATACAATATATTTTTACAGTTGTATATACAAACATACAGAAAATATGTTATTGTTAGCAATAATATGTATTATTATTAATATTATTATTAAATCATTATCAATAATAGTATTAATAATAATATACATATTTTTACATATTTCATGATAATATAAATATGTATACACAAATATATAAAATATATGAACGTCATAAATTATTATTAATAAATGTATATAATATATTAATGTATTAATATATGTTATATATTATTAAAAATAATTTATTATATATATTTATATTATTATGAAATATACATATATATATAACTATGTATGTATATGTTAATCATAATGTATAATATGAATATAATTTTAATACATCTTTGTGTGTACAATTGTAATAATATATTGTACTTCATACATTTTGGAATCAAAACAACATTTGTATTTCGAAGAAATCCTATTTTACAAACTTTCTTAATTTTGATAGATCCGTGTTGCGTCTTGTACGTAAAAATAATTCGAGTCTCTCGGAGAAAAGATTTCGTTGCAGCTCAATGTACAGTATCATTGCATTACCTGCGATCCATTTGGCACCGATGAACCTTGAACTCCAGATGCTGCTACAATAGCCCTCTCGCGTTGTGCCATAAGTTGCGAAACGGAAACACCGGAAAAAATGTTTCCCATCCCGCCCAATTTTCTCTTCTTCTTCTTGTTCAAGCCATCTGCAACATTAAACAACGCAGCCGTCAGTAAAATCGACTCGATTACATTTCCGATCGCTGAAATCCTGAAAGGTCAAAAGCGATATTTCGCTGTTTCGCATACAGTCTGGTCGAGCGGACCGGAGCAGGGAGAAAATTAGATTATAGAAAATTAGTGCAGCAGTTATTCAGTTAATTGTAATTTTAATCCTCCGTTGATTATTCGTACGGCTTTCAGGTTCTTTAGGAACGAGCGTTTCATTCGAAGCCTCGCCCAAAGGTTAAGCTCTATTTAGAGAACATTTCCCCGGTCCATTTGTGCTCCGTTAGTCGCTAATTATCCGAATTAACGTATTTAATTCCCGACCGAATATTTCGCTGCACATAATTGGTTCGCGGAATTACGAGAATAGGCATCAACTGTCAGAAGTACATTTCGCTGGTTCTACGAAACAAAAGCTGGCGTTTTGAAATTCATGGAGAATGTAGCGCCGTTATTTCTGTAGCATCGTTAAAATGGATCTTTGCGTTTATAATATTAATATATATCAACTGTCGGGGTTTCATTATGTCGGATCATCGAACACGAAGTTGATTTTCCAAAATCCGTAGAAAAAGTGCCATTGTTTATACAGCTCCCCAAAAATTTGTTGCTTTTCTAACTTGAATAGACAACTGTCAGAATTTTGTTGGTCCTTCGAAACACGAGTTGGCTCTTTGAAATTCGAGGAAAAAGTACCATTATTTGTATAACGTCGTAAAAATGGACCTCTGTTTTTTTTTAATCGTGTAGACGCATTCATGCTCAGAATTATATTTTATTGGTTCTCCGAAGCAAAAGCTAGTTTCACAAAATTCAGAGAGAGAGAGGGTGCCATTATTTATACAGTGTTAGAAAAATGGATCTTTGCTTTTGTTATATAAAGTAAATCTGTATTAATTGCTACTGTCACATTTTCTAGGTTCTTCGAAACAGAAGCTAGTCCTATCACAGAAAAGGTGCCATTATTTATACTGCACCACAAAAATGGATCTTTGCTTTTGTAAATTGCACAAACATCGACTGTCAGAATTATGCTTCGTTGGTTCATCGTACGTGGAGTTAATCTCTTAAAATTCACAGAGAAAGTGCCATTATTTAATCGGCATCCCGAAAAATGGACCTTCGCTTTTGCAATTTCGTCCACATTCGGGAGCACCAAACTACAGAGAACGAGAAATGCAACGGAAAAATACTTCTCGAAAAATCCTTCGTGTTTGGCGAATTACGGCGTTTTTAGAATCCGGCGAACGGTAACAGCGTTATCCGTTGGAGGGTGGCTGAAACCGCTCGCGAGACCTTGGAAATAATGGTCGTGCAGCGACCGTAACAGGCGTTCGCACTACGAGATTACCATGATTTACGAGGATAACAAAAAGCAAGATGGTAAAAGAGGCTACCGAAAGAGGGGAGGGGAGGGGGGTGGTTTTCAATGGCGGTCTTTTATCCGTAAGCCTACAGCGGATAATTATTCTCCACAGTTTCAATGGGGAAAGATAATTCGGAAGCGGGGGAGATGGAAAATTAAGAGGACGGGTGGAAGAGAGGACGGACGAGGGAAAAGGGTGGAGGATCAGATAATAACGAATCCGGCGCGGAGAGGCGAGGCAACTTGTCCGCAATGACAATAGTTTAACCCGATTTCCACAGGGCAGAGAAGATTCTCTCGTAAAATCTTCCGAGCATTCCGCGACTTCCGGGCGATGTTCCCGTGAACGCGTATAAAATTCGCCTCTCCCTATTACCCGAAAAATCTGCAGCCAATGGCTCGCCGCCGTAAACGCTGCCGTCGTTAAACCGGACAACGACCAGCAAGAAATTGCGGAGCGTGGTCTGCGTTAGGGTACTTGAAACTCGATCGCTGCGTGCCGCTTCGCGATCGACCAAATCCTTCGGAAACATTTCCCGAAAATTCGGTGGATCGAACGTGAGCTTTCGTTAATATATTTAGTCCATCGATCTGACATTCAATACCTTGCGCGCTTAGGGTTGCGACTATCGATCATCGATAAAATTGATAATATTTTTAGTACATCGTTGAGGCGAATCAAACTGATCTACGCGTCGGTATCAATAATTAAAAATGGATTTTGCTGATTAAAAATTGATCTCGATAAGCAAACATGATTTTGTTTAATGAAAGCTGGTTTTGGTAAATCAAAGGTTGAAGCACGAACATTTATTTAACTTGTAAAGTATTACAAAATAAAATAAATGTCTATGTGATTCCCGCATCTTGCAATGAACAACGACAATTTTATTTCGCATAATCATCCGCGATTTAAAAGGCGATCGAATACTTTTTTCCAGGGTCATAATATTGCAAAAATAAAACTTTAAATGTCTTTTTCTTCAAACTTCATTATTTAGACGATATGTCCGATTTAACACTAGATTTACAGAGCATAAAAGACAGCTGTTTTATATTAGTTTATAAAAGTAACAATAAGAATATTTATTCTGATTTTTAACAAGTGTTATTGTAACATTTGTCGTAAGTAACATCCTAATTGAATAAATAACATACAAATTGAATAAATAACTCATAAATGTATCCTGACGATATGAACAATCGTAAATGAAAAAATTAGTGACCCGTCATTTTGACGGGTTCCGTAAATCTAGTGTTAAAGTTGCCAAGAACTTCACGTTTTCGTCGTAGCATTCGAGGTGCAATCGTTTCGACAATCTCGTTTTTTTCCCAATCAATTCGTTACCATTGCTTCCGGCCGAATACTTATTGCCAGGGGTAGCCAAATCGACGATAATCTTGCTACAGCCCATGAAAGGCGTTCCGTAACAGGTGTTATCATCTTATATAGCTTTCGGTGCGGCCTTGCTGTGGAATAATGCCGGCATCAAAATCATACCGGTATAAAGTCCCCGGCCCGGAGGAGACCAAACTTGGATCGCGCGACGAGTATCCGCGAGTTTCGGAGCGTAACGAGCAGGTCGAGCCGTTGATGCGGACTAAAAGGAAGCGGATCGGAATGCGCGTGCGCTACCACAAGAGGACGTTCGCCGAGGACGATCCGGAGGCGGCTTGAAACAGTGTCGGCGGGGGTGAACATCACTCGGGGCAGGCGCAAGAATCACAGCCGGACACACACGCTCCCGCTGCGCGTTCCGGTTCTCTCTCTCTCTCTCCCTCTCTCTTTTCCCTCTCTTCCCGCTTTCAGCTCGGCCCGGCTCCTTCGTACGAAATTAACCCTTATCAACTATACGTCTGCCACCACCACCAGCAGCACCGACGCCTAGGCTATCGCGGTCTTTATTCCCCGCCAGGCCCCACCACCTGCGACTCCGCGGACTACCATCGTCGCGTTGACGTCGCGCTGGTAGCGAATCGCGAGCAGATTCTTTCCTCCTCCCGGGACTTATTGATCGTCCCGGACGATAAGAAGACACGAGCTGGCCGATTGGTTCCTCTTTCGGACATCTGAAAGCGGCCTCCGCAACCCCGACACGCGGCCGGCCAACCTGTCCCGTGTCAAGGATGACAGAGGGGGGGACGACGGCTGCGGATAGCGAACAAGAATCTCGGGATTGGAAGAACCTGCCTCCGGAAGCTGATTAATAATCCTGGATTCGCACCGTCGCATCCGCGCCGTGCGATTCACTGTTCTCTGATCGTGCTCGAATGTTTTGTTCGCTGCCGTGGTTCAGATTTCATTCCGGATTCTTGTAGCGTGCCACGGAGGCGTCGGAACCGGAAGCTGAATCAAGAGGTACAGCAAATTCTCCCCAATTGTCCCTCCGCTTGTAAACGAGAATGGACAGTTTGGGAGAGGAGACACGATTATTTGAGCCTCGCGACTCGTTTTTATAGTTACCGATCGTCGACAACTATGAAAACGAGCCCCAAAGGATCGAATATAGCTAATTCTCCCTAATCGATGCTCAGATTGTACTTAAAAATGGACGATTTGTGAAGAGGAAATATAATAATTATTATATATACGATCTATGAAAATCAATTTTTAATCAGCAAAATCCAGTTTTAGTTACCAAAATTAATTTTTATGTATCAAAATCAATTTCTGTCCATGAAAATCAATTTTTATTTATCATAATCAATGTTCATTTATTAAAATCAATTTTTATTTACCAAAATCAACGTTTAGTCATCAAAATCAATATTTAATTAACAAAATCAATTTATTTTGTTTATTCGTCAAGATCAATCTTTATTTATCAAAATCAATTCTTACGTATGAAAACTAAATTTTGTTCATCAAAAGCACTTGATGCAATCGAATATACGACAGTTTATGGAAACGTATTGCACAAGACATTTAAAAGTCTGCATCGCACTATTTAGAAAAGTTGGGAGAATTTCATTCAGCACCACCGGTTTATCACGGAACCAAGTTCGGAGTTTGGAAAAAGCCCGTGGCGCAATGGAAGACGATAAAAGCGCAGCTGCAGGTATTCACCCCGAAAGGGTGGATAGAGATGCAATCCCTGTGAAATTGTTTTCTCGGGGGTATCAGCGTCGCGAGGCGTACGGCGCCACCGCAACGCCATGATCGATAGAATCACTGGGAATTTGCGCTCATCGCGGGAAATTGTTCGGTAGAGCAAGAGAAAGACGCGACAAGATTTACCCATAAAATAGACGGGTTATTTTTCAACCCTTTGTAGTTGGATCATAACTGGGATCAATTTTCACATTTGTTCGCATTCAATCGGGGGTGTGTACTTGTATTATACTTTTTAGATCTTCTGTGGGATTTTTTTACTGGACAACGAAGGTATATCTTGCGTTAGTGTTTTCACTGATATTTTTACTGATATTTGAGGTACAACACATATGTATTTTTTTCAAGAAAGTATCTCAAATTCTTTGAGTTATATTTTTTTAAACGAGATCTGTTTAAGGTATTGTTCTGGTATATTCTAGGTCTCTTTGGGATCTTTTTGTAAGAAAACGAAACGACTATTTTGCATCGGTACTTTCGCAGATATTTTTACTGATATT